CAAACCCGCCACCCCTCAAAAAAAGCTCACAACCGCCCTTTCAGCAATTAATCAAAAAGAGATCAGATAACAATCCAACCTGCTTTCCTGAAGATGTAGCAATCAGAGGCCTCTCCAGCTTGATTTGATTCCTCAGCTACACAATATGCAATATGAAATTGTCGCTGGACAGACATTCACCACCTGTGTCCCACGTCAGGGCCACAGGCACTCAAGAGGCCAGGATGGCGAAGGGCAATGACATCGAATAATATGTGCTTAGTGTAACGGGTGTGGTCAGAAAGATCCTCTTGATCCCCTTGAGACAGGCTGATCATACCACAAACCCACCCCCTGGGGCACCCCACCACACTGTCCTACTGATCCAGACACTCCAGTCTCCCCCCGCAATGGCACTGAGATGGGGTCATAGCCTGCAGCAGAGCCACACAACTCCACTCTGGGAATGCTCAATCACAGGGACTTGAAAACAACCGGGGGGTTGTCGGTGCGCAATTCCCGTGGGACCAGAACCCCAGGTAAATCCATTGTACTCTGCACAAAAGCTTTATAGTGCGCAACTCCCGTGGGACCAGAACCCCAGATAAATCCATTGTACTCTGCACAAAAGCTTTATACAGTACAAGCTCATAATTTGTTCACTCCTTTTATCAATGAAAGAGAGAGATGCACAGCTGTTGTCTCCTCCCCTCCCCCGTTACAATTTTTTACATTGGGTTTATTAATAAACAAAAGTGATTTTATTAAATCCTACTTTTTATATTTAAGTGATTGCAAGTGATAGCAGACAGATCAAAGTAAGTTACTAAGTTAAATAAAACAATTCACACTTATTAGTCTAAGAAAATTGTTACATGCAATTTCTTACCCTAACAGTAGTTCCGATCATCTTTTCTCACAAAATAGGCAGCCTCCTAGCGTGGGCATGATCCTTCCTCCTGGTCAATCTTACCTGTTTCCAGCTGTCAACTTGGTGGTAAGAGGGGATGTCTGCCAACTGCCAACTCACTTATTGTTTGGTTCCCTGCCTCTCAATAAATTTTGCTCAAGGAGGGAATCCTTTGTGTTCAGCTTCAACCCTTTCCCCTCCCATGGAAAATGCATCCAAATATTGCATCCAAAATGAGTTCCTGCATTAGGTGACCTGGCTACATGTGTTGGCAAGACCAGCCATAGTCCAGGCTCACAGGAAAAGCAAGGCTATTCACAGATCATTGTCATGAGTACTGGGTTTATGCTTCATATTTATAACTTCAAACTCAGGAATGATAGATTCTCGCAAGTAGAATATACACATTCAGAGGATTACAAGCTTTTCAATGACAGGTTACATGCCCCATTTTATATAAAGCATATTTGAGTAAGGCATATTCATATTCAAAACATATTTCCATAAATAATATGGGGGCACACCTCTGAGTTAACAGCTAGAGGGTTGGATGCTGCCCAATGCAGAGGCAGTGTGCTCAAAATCTCTGTTTGGCTTTGGTTACACATCCACCCAGTGTCATTAAACTCTGTTCCTCGGGTGCCTGAAGACATTTCTGGGTGTAGTAGTGCCCCCAGAATGCAGATAGCAATGTCTTTTAAAACTGTGAAGGTTTTGGCCTTTAGCCACCAATGCCAAGAGGCGGGGTGCCTCAATTTCCCCTTTTACACAGCCAGCTGAGAGCAGCCTGAGCAGCACAAAATGGCTGGGCCCAGAGGAGAGGAGGTGAGCCATTACTTGGCTAGACGACTATGCACACACTAAATAAATAAACCTGGTAGCAAATATGAGGGTCGGGCTGTCCCAGTCAGCCAGCCGCACATCCTTCTTCCTCTCAAAAAATCTCACAAGCACCTTCCTTGCTGAAGATGCAGCAATCAGAGAGGCCATGTCACCTTGATTTGATTCCTCAGCTACAATATGTGCTATATGAAATTGTTGCTTGACAGACAACCACCACCTGTGTCCCATATCTAGGCCACACGTGTTCGAGAGGACACGATGGTGGAGGGTGTTGATATTGCATCATATGTGCTTAGTACATGCTGGTGGAGAAGGTAGCTTCAGGCGTGCAAGGTCATAATTACGTTTTAAATAAAGCCAAACCCTAAGGAAGGGGGCCCATGACAACTGGTTGGGAAAAGCACCTGTCATAGAACCGTAGACTCCTAGGGCTGGAGGAGACCTCAGGAGGTCATAGAGTCCAGCTCCCTGCCCAAAGCAGGAGCAACCCCCCCTCAATCAACCCAGCCAGGGCTTTGCCAAGCCAGGATTTAAAAACCTCTAGGGATGGAGATTCTACCACCTCCCTAGGGAACCCATCTCAGTGCTTCACCACCCTGCTAGGGAAATAGTTTTTCCTAATATCTAACCTAGACCTTCCCCACTGTAACTTGAGCCCATTGCTCCTTGTTCTGCCTTCTGTCACTACTGAGACCAGCCTCTCTCCGTCCTCTTTGGAACCTCCCGTCAGGAAGTTGAAGGCTGCTCTCAAATCCCCCCTCACTCTTCTCTTCTGCAGACTAAACAGACCCAACTCCCTCAGCCTCTCCTTGTAAATCATGCGCTCCAGCCCCCTCATCATTTTTGTTGCCCTCTGCTGGACCCACTCCAATGCGTCCACATCCTTTCTGTAATGGGGGGCCCAGAATTGGACACAAAACACCAGATGTGACCTCACCAGTGCCAAGTAAAGGGGAATAATCACTTCTCTAGACCTGCTGGAAAAGCTCCTCCTAAATCACCCCAATATGCTGTTAGCCTTCTTGGCTACAAGGACACACTGTTGACTCATATCCAGCTTCTCATCCACTGTAACCCCCAGGTCCTTTTCTGCCAAACTGCTGCTTAGCCAGTCAGTCCCCAGCCTATAGCAGAGCTTCGGATTCTTCCGTCCCAAGTGCAGGACTCTACACTTGTCCTTGTTGAAGCTCATTGGATTTCTTTTGGCCCAATCCCCTAGTTTGTCTAGATCACTCTGCACCCTATCCCTACCCTCCAACGTATCTACCTCTCCGCCAGCTTAGTGTCATCTGCGAACTTGCTGAGGGTGCAATCCATCCCCTCATCCAGGTCATTAATAAGGTTATTGATTAATATGTCTGTCCATATGTCTTAGATCATGAATTTTTTACACATGCCTCAAGTTCTGCTGTAATGGTGTGGCTGGCCGCATCTCTTATGGCATGGCAAGGACTCTGCTATTGTGTCCTTCCTTCTTCAGGTGATCCACCCAGCCTCCAGCACCTGCAGGTCTGGGTGACTTAGCCCTCCAGCTAGGTCACATGAGGGTCTCAACCCTTTCGCAGTACCCAACGTCCAAGATGAACCCAGGAAACGCATTTTTCCATCCCATTCGGGCTCCCCTTAGCAGACTGTTCTCCCCTCCCTGGAGTGTCAGCGTACCAAGAAAACAAATGCTTTTACCCTTCTGGGCTCATGCGAGCTAAGTCAGTCACTGGTAGACAAACAAGGTAATCCTCCAGACCAGGCCTACCTTCCCAGTAGAAGTCTGCCCCACCAGCCTTCTCTTCCACAGTGAAGGTCTGCTCTCCTGCCCAGCCGGCCACCGTCTGAGCTGGGCTCTCCCCGTTTTTGCTCCTCTCTTGAAACCTGACACCTACAGCAGATGTCACAGGGCATGGTCTGATTGGGCCTCCAGCGCCCATTCATTCTTTCCTGACTGGGGGCATTCGTGTAACCAGTCACCAATAGCGCTCTCAAAGAGAAAGAGGATCCGTGTATACTTGCCAGTCATCAGTCCAGTTCCTCACACATTTCTGAGGGCTTCTACCATTGTGGAAAATAAGGAGGCTTGAGAGAAATCCAGGTGGCCACTATGGAGACCATACTGGGCATTAAGGAGTCACTCCGTAGGAGTGATCCCATTTTTTTCTAATCTGCACAGTGTAGCAGTACATAAGAACGTAAGAATGGCCATACTGGGTCAGACCAAAGGTCCATCCAACCCAGTATCCTGTCTGCCCACAGTGGCCAATGCCAGGTGCCCCAGAGGGAGGGAACATAACAGGTAATCATCACATGATCCCTTTCCTGTCATCCATTTCCAGACAAACTGAGGCTAGAGACACCATTCCTACCCATCCTGGCTAATAGCCATTGATGGACCTAATCTCCAAGAATCTATTTAGCTCTTTTTTGAACCCTGTTAAAGTCCTAGCCTTCACCACATCTTCTGGCAAGGAGTTCCACAGGCTGACTGTGTGCTGCATGAAGAAAAACTTCCTTTTGTTTGTTTTAAACCTGCTGCCTATTAATTTCATTTGGTAACCTCTAGTTCTTATATCATGGGAATAAGTAAATAACTTTTCCTTATTCACTTTTTCCATACCAGTCATGATTTCATAGACCTCTATCCTATCCCCCCTTAGTTTCCTCTTTTCTAAGCTGAGAAGTCCAAGTCTTTCAGATGCCTGCATCAGGCATTCCCAGGAGTGTGCCAGCCCCAGTGCCCTGGGTTTCCAGACAAGGCAGGTTTGGAGACAAAGTACATCACACATTGCAGTCATCTGACGGCTCAGTCTCATGCACCATGTTCTGGGAAGCGGTGAATGATCCCAGGAATAGTTCCGGAATGACTGCTTCCCAAAGGACAAAGACTGTAGAGGGCTCCCCCTCCCGTCACACAGCCGAACACAGAAACCACTGCAGGAGCTTTGCACTGTCAGCCCTCCTCTAGCTACCGCCCTATTGGGTTTATAGCTACCCAGCTAGAGAATCAGATATTACCCCCGGCTTTCAGAAAGCTGCCAGGGCCAATCCCCAAGAGCTATCAGAACTCACTCCCAGGCACTCCTGCACTAAGGGCTTTGTGCTTCCGGATCTAAATTCTCCGGGGTTTCCTTAAAAAATGAATGAGAGTGAAGCTGTGTGAAACTTGCTCATTCAGCTGCTGCGAGACTGCAGGGCTATTGCACTCTGGGATTTCAGCTACAGAGAGCTGCTCTGGCCAGCCGTTCCTCACACCATTTCACTTCCGTCTGCTCTACAGGATCCATGTCCATGGTCTGTAGACAGCAAGTGCATCATCCCGACAGTCAGCACAACTGGGCCTTCACACCGCTCCAGGAAGCTTTCCAGCGTCTCACCCGATGGTCTCCAAGGAATCCGAAGGAGGTAGGCACCTGGCATGTACAACATCAATGTGAAATTGGGCACCTAACTTCCTGAAGCCTCAAACCCAAGAGCGGGGCTCACGCCTGCTCCTGAAAACAAGCTACCCCAACTAACTGCTCAGCTCACCACGGTGATTTTGGAGGCCATAATCTGACCCTTTCTACTTAATTCACATCATGGCTGCGTCTAGACTGGCAAGTTTTTCCACAAAAGCAGCTGCTTTTGTGGAAAAACTTGCCAGCTGTCTACACTAGCTGCTTGAATTTCTGCAAGAACACTGACTTCCTACAGTCTGAAATCAGTTCTTCTTGCGGAAATGCTATGCTGGTCCCGTTCGGGCAAAGCCCGCTTGTGCAAATGCTTTTGCGCAAGAGGAGTTTGCACTCAGTTGTAGACTAGAATATCCCCAAAGCCTAGGGTGTGGTCATGCAAAAATCCTTCATTGCAGTTGGGTTGGTCTATTTGCCTCACCATCACTACGTTTAGTCTGCCATTACAACTTTTAAAGTTTTGATAGCAATGTGAATGCTTTAAAATAAAAGATGCATTAAAATAAGTAGGGTAGTTAAATATCGGTTAATTGACCAGCTGATTAACCTACAAAGTGGTGCTTGAACAGGTCAAAACCCAAGGCAAATGCACGGACCTGAAGCATTTCATATTCCATTCTAAATGGCTTCTCATCTAGTCATTATAGCATTAGTTTCTGCATGTAGCTCATTACGAATGGCTTATTGGACAATTATAGCTTGTCAGAAAGCAACCTAAAATTATGTGGTTTCATGAAGGCTGGAAAGTCCTAAGAAAAGACTTTTCAGGCACGTCTGCAGCCTAGGTACTTAGTCACCTTCTTTTCATAGCTCCTGAGTAGTGAACATTGTGAATATTACACCTACTCAGGACTCTCATTTCCAATGGGAAACATTTTGCTCAATGTGTTTGAAAGGAGGAACTCCTCTGCCTGGCCACTGGCCACTGAAAACTGGGCCACTGTGAGGTGCATTGTACAATGGTTATCTACTGGCAACGGTATTGATAAGCACTTAGCCAGGGATCTAACCCTGTGAAAAATCCGAGACTTCATTAAACACAACTCACATGCCGTAACACCATTATGGAGCCATTGTCCAGTATTTCTTTGGTGCCTCCTTCTTCAAAGGGATCCAAAGCACACTGAAGTCAATGGAAAAAAAGTCTGATGGATTTCAACAGGCTTTGGACCAGCTTTATGGAAAGGTTTTTGCCACCAGTCACATCAGAGCTCCTTCTTCCAATAATGCACATAAGGCATACCACTTTTCTTTGGAGCCTATCATGTTGGCAAAGCAAGGAGAAAGTTCCATAGCTTCTCTGGAATTCTCTTTTAAGTTTTGCCCATCATGTGCCAGCCCTCCATCGCTAAATCCTTAAGGCCTGGTCTACACTAGGACCATAATCTGAAATTAGCCCCCCCAGGTCAATTTTCTAAGGGATGTGTTCACACAACTGTAGGGTAAATTGAGGCAGTCCATGGTATCTTGCTGAGAACTGACAAACTCAAATCTCAGATCATTAGGCCAGCCCTGGGAAGCATACAGTACAGCAGTTATTGTGACCCTGGTTCCCCTGGCAACCACATTCCAAAAGGGCCTCACTTTGATAAGGCTGGTACCAATCAACTGCGCGAGATTGTTTTTCATTGTCTGCTTTGTTCCTAGAAAATAAGCTTGGATCCCAAAGATCACGTCAAGGCAATACCACCCCACGGGAGACGCATTATATTTCCAGCCGACAAAATGACCATCAACATGCCTTTGTTTATGTTGGCTTTTTTAGCTTGTTAGGAATAACTATTTGTATTAGTGATAACATATTAAATTGGTAATAGGCGGAGATGCTGTGTAACTGTTGTAGACCATTGGCTTATGTGCATATCTCACTTCCGCTGCTAGACCTATCAAATTACTTCTCCTCTGTCCATCTGCTACCTATATAATCTAATGTATGTTTTGGTTACGTTGGTGCTCACCGGGTTAACCCCTGATGAGTCGCCACCAGCTGTGTGAACCAATAAATCCTCTGCTTGTTTTCACCTGCACCCAGTATGTCCAAGAATTATTCCCAACACTACCAAGCATGTTACTCCGGAATATGGGACCACAGAATTCGAACTCTGTAGTCCTGCTTTTCACAAGGAATAACACTATTCCCAAATTTGTAAGTCTGAAGTAACGTTAGTGTGGAAGCTCTGGTGCCGCTAATTTGAACTAATTGGCCTCTGGGGGTATGTCTAGACTACATCCCTCTGTCACCAGAGGGATGTAAATTAGACATACCGAAATTGCTAATGAAGCGGGGATTTAAATATCCCGCACTTCATTAGAATAAAAATGGCTGCTGCTTTTTGCCGATGCAGCGATTTGCTGGCAAAAAGCAGCAGTCTAGATGGGGATCGGTTGACAAGGAAAGCCTTTTCCGACCGATCCCTTATGCTTCATGGAATGAGGTTTACAGGATCGGTTGGAAAAGGCTTTCCTTATCGACTGATCCCCATCTAAACTGCCACTTTTTGCTGGCAAATTGCCGCGTCAGCAAAAAGCATTTTTATTCTAATGAAGTGTGGGATATTTAAATCCCCTCTTCATTAGCAATTTTGGTGACAGAGGGATGTAGTCTAGACATACCCTGGGAGTACAGCTTTCCAGAGTATTTCCCGGGACTCTGAGTCTGAGGCAGGTTCCGTTAAGGTGGACATGTTATCTCAGACTACATTCGATTCTTCTCCATAGAGAGGACACGGAACTTCGAATTTGTAAAATCGGGTGCCCACAAGTTGAACTTAGCAAATTTGAAATAATCACCTCGTGTAGCTATTGCCTAGGATAGGACATCTCCCATCCCATAGAGGAAGCTACCTGCCTGACCATTAAAACTGGAAATATACCTTCTGGTGTGGAGTCACAATGGGGAAGCAAAGAGGTAGTGCCCCAGCATGGGATTTTGTTTTGTTCCTTACAAAATGTTAGATAATTAGAGTGTCTGTCATAACAAAGATGAGCATTTTTCACCAGTGAGAACACAGGTATCTGATAGTTCACCGATGCCCTCCCCTCGCTCTTATTCCTTGCTATAGGCAATCTGTCATCAAATGTTCATTTTGTAATGGCAACAACTGCACTTCTCACTTCTCCAGGATCAACACCCACGTAAATTCCTACCTAGTTTCTTCCCTGTCCAATGAAGCGTGATGCTAAAGAAGTTCTGCAGGGTTACAGAACCATGTCAGTTTTATCAGCGGTCATTTAGATGAGAACAAATTACCTCCTGAAACACTATTTGCTTTTATAAAGGATTTATTAGCACTTGGGTAAATTGGATTCTGATCTCCTCGTTCATCATTAGCTTCAGCCCCCTTAGCAATGCCAGATGACACATCCATCACTCCACTGTCAGATCAGACCAGTTCTATTGCTGAGCAAGCAGTTCTTACATCTGGGGCATGGCTCTGTGTTCAGGTCATGCTCCTCATCAATCCATGGCTTGGGGAAAGCTAATGATCCAACTAGGGGACCAAGTTTGGTGCTGAATGCTGGTCACGTGCCACATTAGGCATGTTGCAAATACACTAAGAGGACTCCTCATCTCTTTGGCTTTCAGCTTGGATACTGGGACACTTACGCTGAGCCTTTGTCTGTGTTTGAGGGGCAGCATGAACGCGCTCATGTTCCTCGGCTCCGAGCTTTCTGTCTTACAAGAAATTGAGTGTTGCGCTATCGAATCTTCCTCAGATCCCAAAGAGCTCCCAGGAATCAATTTGCTGATTCCCACAGGGCCCAGTCTGAAATGCTGAGAGAGAGGAAGTGGGAGGGGGGGGGGGGCTTCCTTTGTTTCTAACGGGTAAGGGGGGGAGGA